AGAAATTTTGGAGGTTTTGGGGCCCGATGTCGAAAAGTCTTGAAATTCTATAGGATACATCTCAGGGTCATATAATGCCGTTTGGAACCATATATAATCATTATATGATGTCAATACATGATTGTGGGAGGCTTGAGTAATTAATGAAATCGGCGCAAGTTGTAAACCGACAAATTGGTTGTTCAAAGGCAAATTGGATGGTTCCACCCACCCAATTGGACTCCCAGAGGGTATTAGGGACCATGGTAAATATTTCGGCAATTTTTATTTTTGGGCGAAAAAAAATCAAAAAATTTCAAAATTAAAGTCTACTATCCACGCTTTTTGAGAAATTTCGAATGTTTCGGGGCACGGTGTCGAAAGACATTGAGATTTTAGGGGATACATCTGGGGGTCATATAATTCCGTTTGGAACCTTATATGATCATTCTATGTTGTCATAAATGTTCGTGGTAGGCTTGATTTAATGAAATTGGTGCAAATTGTAAACCGGTAAATTGGTCGTTTAAAGGCAAATTGGATGGTTCCAGCCAGCCAATTGGACTCCCGGAGGGTATTAGGGACAACGGTAAACATTTTGGCAATTTTTATTTTCGGGTGAAAAAAAAGTCAAAAAAATTCTAAAATTAAATGTTAATATCCTCACATTTTGAGAAATTTTGGAGGTTTCGGCCGTATTCCCCAGAAATGTTATATATAGTAAAATTCTTTATTTATTTTTTTTGAAAGAATATACAATACAATGCTTAGGATTACATAAAAGTATTAAATATACTTTTGAAAATGGTATATAATTAGAAATTTATGACAAAATACGCGTAAATCAGTGTAATTTGTGTGTGTGTGGTTTTTTTTTTTTTTTTCTTCTAAATTTAAACAATTTTCAAGATTGTATTTAATGCTTATGTATAGCATAATTGGACAAGATTTTCTAAATTTAAAAGGGACAAGAATTCCCCTTCTTAATTATACAGAGGATTATCTCTCAAAAAAAAACAAATTTAAACAGAGGATTATATTTATGTGTATACTTTATTTTGGAGAAAATACAAGTTAATCTTTATGATTAAGTAGCTATATTGTTCATAAACAGTTGTTTTTAAAAAAAAGTTCACTGATTTACAATATTGCAATTAAATTGACAAATTTTGTCAACAAAAAATATTAATTGGGTTTGCCTCATTCATTTTGTGGATTGGGACATAATTAGTTCATGAAAAAAGTTGACCCATTTTAGTGAAAGGAAATCAGTAGATGAGTTCCCAAATGGTGTTTTGTTTGTCGGGAGGGAATACCACTGTGCTCTTAATTTGCTTGATCTTATTGTTGAGCCTAGCAATTATCAAGTTGGGATCGACTCGGTTTGAAATAAATCGCAAATCGATTCAACAACATCATCACTACTTGTGTTTCACTTTTGGGTCTTCAAATGCATATTATGATTGGGGTGATGAGATACAGTCAATTTGATCATGTTTAGGTGGTCTTTATATTCACCTTATTTTTAAATCATATTTTATGAAAATAAGTGGCCATTAGCTAAATTTAGAAAGGAAAGGAGATAAAAAAAAAAACTAGTCTAGTTCAATTTACAATAAAAATAGTTTTTAAAGTTTTATTATGTGAAATACATGAGAATAAACGACACTCTTAGAAATGACTTAGTATGATATGCTATTTCTCCTCAAGGGGTATTTATTTATCAAATTAAAATTAATTCTTAAGAAGTACTTCGATATAGTATGATATTTCTCCTCAAAGGGTATTTATTTATCAAATTAAAATTAATTCTTAAGAAGTATTTCGAGATAGTATGATATAGAGGTGAACACGAGTCAGATTGAACCTTCGATATAGTGTCCCATTTTGGGCCAAGGGAGCAGGGCGAGCCTATTTTCGGATTCTCGGGTAGAAAAGTGTGTGTCAAACTCAAGCATGCTAAATTGCTAATATCAAGTTGGGCTGGTGCATGCCTTTTCTAGTCTAGCCTAATATAGGCTAAAATATACAATTTGAGCCCAAACATGAACTTTTTCATGTCACTCCAATTATAGTGTACAATAGTATAATAGTATAGTAGTATGGGCTTAAAGAAGTGATAATTGTGTGTTTGTGTTCCTTTTAATTAATCCACATTAGTTTATATTTGTATCATAAAATTCTAATCTTAAAGTTGTTTTTATAGCAACAACAAAATATGACAACTCGTTGCACCAAAAAAAACAAAATATGACAACTCCATACATATTGTATATTTGTATATGATTTTTAGTTTCATATATATATATATAAAAAAGACATAGTACTACTCCATTAGAATAGTTTGATTTCCCCACACAAGATACATTTTGTTTATCTATTTTTAGATGCAAACAAGGAGGCACCTTCCCAAAAAGATCTTTTGAAAAGCAAATGATGATTTTATTTTGTATGAAGTAATAATTTTCATGGCATCATAATTGAAAAACATTCACGAAGTGCTTGCCCACTTTATCACAATGATAATTCCAAAATGATAAAATCATGAGCCTTTTTATATTATTTATTTTCTTCTGAATTGAAAGCGCTACTTTTTTTTTTTTTTTTGTTGTTAAGAGATTCATAAAGGACGGAGATGAGAATCGATTTTAAGTTGTTTTCTAGATGTTTTCTAGAACCAAGAGAAAAGATCTAACTGCTTGAGTTATCTATAACTCTCACAACTCTATCCATTGTTAATGTACTTATTTGTTTATTGCGAAATTAAATGATGATTTTTCTTAAGTTCAGTTGGACTAAAGAATTGGACCGTTGTCCTCTACAAGTCTACAAAGATTATTCTACTTTTACTAATCATATAAGAATATGGGTCTGAAAAAGTTGACCAGGAATATACCAAGACATGTGCATCACTCTCAAGGACCATCCTACTAATCCAAGGCATCTAAGTAGTGTTATCCATAAAATATATACCTTCGTATAAATAATACTTTAGTCTTCTCGTGTTGAAATTATTTGAATGAGGCAGTTATGGAAATTTATTAATCAATACTTCGAATAACATTCACGTCAATGAATGTCTTTGTGTGTACCAATTATTTCATATTAAAATCGTAGTAATCGATATAGAATATAGATTGTATGTATACATAGGACTCAAATAAACTTATATTTCTTACGAAGTATTATTTTTACGCGAACTTTATAATTGAAAATAAAAAAACTAACTCATTACTCAAATATTGAGTATGACTCAAGTTTTCTTCAAAAAAAAAAGAAAGTACGACTTAAGTTGACCTGTTATAGATTGTTCAACTTAAATTAAGGATCTGTTTTCACTGACTAAAATGAGCTGAACTGAACTAAAATGAACTTAACAGAGTTGAACTGAACTTAAATGAATATTTTATGAAAGAAGAAAATTATGAACTGAACTGAACTGAACTAAAAATAATCTGATGAAAACAGGGTCTGACAGTTGTCACAATATACGAAGTATATTTTTTAAAAAATAGTACTTCGAATAGCTAATACGAAGTAAGAGTTAGCGGATATCTAAAAATTCAACATCTCTTTACTCTTCAATGTAGTGCAATAAAGTATGTAAAATTAGAAAAATAGTTTTTAAAATGAAAAAAAAAAAAAAAAACACTTCTATTCCATAAAATATTAACTTTATTATGTGGCTACGGTTAGGGTCTACTCACTTTAGCTTAATTTCAGTCCAGTTCAGCTCCAATCAGTTCAATTCAGTTCAGCTCTTAATTCCCATCTCTCATAATATATTCATTTTAGCTTAGTTTATCTCACTTTAGTAAATGTGAACAAGCCCTTAGTCATAACCATATTCTTTCCTATTCTATGTTATGGACTTATGGAGCATTCTATATTTCATTATTTCTATATGCTTACTTGCAATACTTAAGGCATGGAAAATGAAAGTCATGCGACAAACTTTAAAAAAGGGGTAAACTAAAGTTAGAAAAGACATTAGAATTATATTAATAGAAATTTCTTATGTCATCTAATTAAAAAAAAATAAAAATTGATTAGATACATAAAATACTGTTATGTTAACCAAAATATTCCTCTTTTAGCGGTTCAGAGTTTGTGTGACCAAAACAATACACACCATGATCAACTTTTGCAACTAAAAGTAAAGGTGCCATTTGCAATGTTTGTCAATTTTGGAAGGGAGACAAATAAAAGAGAAATAAAATTATATGTACACTCTCATCCAATTTACTTGTCCCATAGTCATTTACACTTATAAAAAAAAAAAAAAAAAAAAAAGCACATATCGAATATAAGACGTAAGTATCGACTGAAGAAGTAAATAAGTTTTATTTTCACACTATATAAAAATATACTCCCTTCGTGTTTTAATAAGTGTTGTACTTTGACTTTTTTCACTATTTACATAATAGTTTTGACTTAATATATATATATATATATATATATATATATATATATATATATATATATATATATATATATATTATTAAAAAAACAAATGTTATTATATAATACTCCGATATTATTGTTGGATTTGTTATAATGTATATTTTCATGATACTGTATCAATTTTCCATAATATTAATTAAAATATGATTAATTAAAATATGATTTGATAAATTAAGGGTCAAAATCGTGTCTCTAAATACGTATTTAGTCAAAATATAACACTTTTTAAAATACGAAGAGGTAATAAAAATTTATATAAATAAATAATGGACAAAGGGGTCCAATTATGAATTATCATATCTTTTCCAAACAGAGCAACAAATCAAATACGTACTCCTTAAGAGATAAGAGAATCTCAAAAATTACTCCAAATAAATTATACTCCGTATTTAATTTTATTTGTTCAGAACATAATATTTTAACCCTTCTAATGCTATTTACATAAACACTGCAAAATCCAAAAAAAAAAAAAAGGGTAAAGTATACATCTATGAAACAGAGTGCTCTGTTTTCTTGTGTATAATCCTATAAACTTTATCATAGAAAAAAAAAAAAATCTAACTTAAAAGTTTCCTGTTTGTATTGATAGAAGGAGAAGGCATAATCTTGATGACAAGGCCAGGAAAAACATCATCAGGATCATGAATATGAGGGTTACGTTCAACAATATAAGGATCACCACACTTGTCACTAATAGTATGAAGAGTTTCACCTTCACCAACAACGTATATTTCATCGCACGGTCGATGATGTTCATGAAAGCTCGAACCTTTCATCGCTTTTAAGTTGTTACTACTAGTAGAGTAATAGTTATGATGATCGTTGTCGTCGTAAGGGTTGAAATTCTCCTCCCTTAAGGTTATGAACAAGATTAGGACGACTATGATAATAGAACAGTACCATGAGGCGGTATATGCTATTGTCAGGGTTGCTCTGATACCATTTATACGTCGTTCTGATGAACTTAAAGGAGTCATTTTGGGGTTTTGAATTTTTATTTATTTATTTTTTTTTCTTTTGGGTGTGTGTGAAATGTTTTTGGTTTTTTTGGGTGTTATAAAATGATTTTGGGTGGGTTATATAAGGGGTGAGAAATGGGTGTTGGTGATGTTGAGGTGAAGTGTGGAAAGTGGAGAGAGAAAAAGTGGAGTTGAAGAGTTGGGTTTATTTTGGGGGGGGGGGGGGGGGGGGGGTGGAGTGGAAGAAGGACGTGCATATTGGTGTGGAGTGGGAGGGTGAAAGTGGGGTCAAATTTTGTTTAGGCTTTATGTTTAGTTTACCAAATCAATTTTAGTTCTTAACTTAAGTCTTCCTTGTACTTTATATATCGTGCCTTCTTATCCTCTCGTCTCTCTATAATAAGCGTTAATGTATGAAAAAAATCAAGTACTCGCCCTATTGTTTTGGACAAAATCTATGGGAATACTACCGGACTACCGGAGTATCATTTAATTCTAACTTATTAATGGTGTTTTTGGTATCGTATAGTATTTGTCAATATGTGGTTGAAGAATAATTCTACAATGATCATCTTTTGGATGATATTTATGGTTTATGTATAGAAGTAGTAGTTTCAACATTTTTTAAGCTGTGTAGAAAACGATCTAGGTAAACCCTATAATGATAATATACCATAAGGGGTTAGGGCACTAGGTACTATAGAGTAGCTAGATACACAAACTTATTATTTTCAAGCAATGCAATATAATTACACTACGAAATCACATTCAAATCAAGAATCTCTTTTATGGAGTACTTCTTTGACTTATCAACAAAGCTTACACAAAATAATAATGTGAGTACTCGCATTTGAGGACTCAAATTTTAAAGTTTGTCCGGTGTCAACTAGTTTTCTTGATTAAAGTTTTAGGTGTAATACTTAAGATTCGAAATCAAATCTCATCTATAATATTGTTTGTTATACTCACTGAATGCACAAATTAAAGTGGTTTGTTTTGGTAGAATTTATTAATAGATGCAATTCACTTTAGTCAAACCACTTTTTACCAAGTATTAATTATTGCAGTATTTAGAAATTGTACATAGACAGTAAAGATGACAATTATGACAGAGTTTGTTTATGTGTCTTATCTTACAGAAATTACATAAGTAATGCTTATAAAGCAATGTCATTCTTCTAATCAAGCAATCATTCTCAAAGTAAGCAATTTATATGCTTCGATTTGTGGAAACCCAGAGAAAAACACATAGGAGTTGAAGCCAACTACTTTAGGTTGAACAAACCCACAAGGAAAAAAGACTTGTTGTTGAACAAGAAACAATTACTCGTGAAATTCGCATTTGTAATGAAACAATGTTGCTTCAATCATAATTTTCTGTTAATAACTCCTTTAAATGTTAATCTCATTGACATTATATGGCTTTTGCTCTAGAAAAAAAAAATACAAAACCCATACTAAACTAACACTATGCATGGATTAGGGCGTGTGTGACCACTATAATCCCATTGACAATGTTAATTAGAGTGTACGTAGTGTATGTATTATTTTAAAATTATTAACAAACCGAAGTTGATAAAATATTCATCTTCATGATGACTTATTTTATTCAGCTATAGTAAGCAAGAACCTTTTCAATAAGTGTGTTAGTAAGAATTTATTTTATTTTGTTTTTGGAGTAAAATTTTAAGGTAAGTTCTGACTTGTGGCACTTACGAGTAAAGATAAAACACAAATTGTAAGGAAAAAGAAATTAAAGATTTAAAATTTGAATTGAAGGGATATAATGATATACTTGGTGTCATATATCATGTGTATGTAGAGTGTTTATTGCTAAAAAGGAGAAATAGTGTGCCAAATTCATGCCTAATTTAAGAAAACAAAAAACCCTATTTAAGAAAACAAAAAACCCTTTCATATTTCACATGGCTTAACGAGTGTTGAGCCAATCATCCTCAACTAACAAAGTTGACCATTTCCAAAGGCTCATACTCTTTGTGAGGGGATGGATCCTTTACATAAAATTGTGTAAATAAGGCCAATATTTGTGTATATACTTGTATATGTTATTTGTATTTTAGTAAGTCTTAAATTCGTGAATGATAGTACAATGGTGTAAGATATTTGGCTTTTTTAATTTTTGAAAATAAAATAACAAGTATAATAACCTTCGACATAAAAAAAAATACTGCTTAAAAAATACAAAGCTAAAATTAAATGAGCGAGCAATTCTAGAGGCTTGGTAAGAGCATATGTCAATTGAATTCTTTGTCTGAGATCTTAGAAACACAAAGGACACCAAGCTTTAGTAGACATGCAAACTTTGATTCCAAATATATCTCAAACCTTTAACTAAAAAAAGTACTAGCTCATAAATCGCCTGAAGTACAATCAAACTATGTCCACTAATACAGATTTTCATATTAAAAGCTATACAATGAATTGTCACTACTTTGCCTTAACAAAATTAAATTAATTTACAATAAATTTAAACCAAAGAAAAAAAAAAAAAAAAAACCCACTACTTTCACTAGTCATTTGAAAAATAAAAAAAATACTTTATCCTATTTTTCATTTAAATATTTTAATTATGAGCTGATGTTAGAAAAGAGTATGCATGACTACATATATAAACCTAATTGGTGACCTATTTAAATTTATCGACTACACTACAATAATCGTGCACCAAAATGACAAAATTCTTCTTGACGAATATTTTCTCAACAAGAAGTGATGATCAAACACTTGATTATAATGTTGAACTTGACTAAATTAACCATATGTTAATGTTATTGGCTGATTAGTGTGAATATCCAACATCAAAAACAACATTATTGTGTACAAATTATGAATTTGTTGATTAATAATAGACAATTAGCAACATTTTCCTTTAATTTTGTGGGTCAGTGTCAAGAATTTCTTGTTGGAGCACGTCAAATAAGTGGTAGTAATTTTTTTTATCTAAGTGCAGTGTTTTTTGGTGCATTTATCAGGAGTCAGACCCCATTTATAAGTTAGAATTTCTATAGTTATAAATAAATAAATAAATTATATCAGGTGATAACACTGATAAGTTAAAATAGTGAACCAAAATGGCTGTTGACTAGATAACAATTTGCGCAACCAATTAACGTTTACTGTGCCATTTTCGATTTTATTTTTAAGTCTAACAGGCTATGGTTAGTCCACGTAAAATAAAATAACATAATTATCTGTGCTTTAAAATATCTGAGTAGTACAAAAATGCAAGGAAATAGGTTTAGCCAACAGTTTACCATCAAGGTGTGTGATGATAATTTTTTTTTTTTTTTTTGTGTTTAGAGAACCACAGGATGGGTGATGAAAATCGATCCCACTATCTCTTGAAATCAGGAGGGCAGCTCTAAGCCTCTAACCAATTGAGCTATCATAATTTTATACTTTAGCTACGAAGAACCACTCTACAATTTATAAACCCAGTTATACAAAAAAATAGGTACATCTAAACGTATGTTTTTTGCTTGGTTGAAGGTTTTAAAATGAGAAAATTTATTGAATGAGCAGAAAACAGTATGTTTAGATACACCTAACTCTAAACACATCGTACATATATACCGTTATGTAAACTTGATTACATGTAAAAATTTTCACCCACTCCATAAGATTAGTAATTACTCCGTATAATTAGAAGTATAATTTTATGGATAACATTTCAAAATATGCAAAAACTGATTTACTGATTGTCAATAAAAATTATTGATGATATAAAATTGGGTAATGCTATATGCTGGCTGCAAATATGTATTTAATATACTTCATTTTGTAGAATGAAGTTGGGAATTTGTCGACAATTCAAGAGTAAATTGGTGTAATAAATGTTTATTTATTGTTTTTTCTTTTCATTTTTAACTTCTTATTTACAGGAATACAATCCATATATATATATTTTTCCCTATATAATACTCCCTCCGTTTTTAAATTCTTGCTCCACTTTCCTTTTCCGGTCATTTTTAAATACTTGCTCCATTTTCTTATTTGAAAAGCTTTTACAATATTTAATTAATCTCTCTCACCAAGTGGACCCAACAATATTAATTTCTTATTCTCTCTCCTGAAATTCTCTCCACTACTTTTGGGTTTTTATAATTTTTTATTCTTCCACTAACTTCACTATCTCCATATTTTATTACTTTCTCCAATTTCTCCTAAAATTCCGCGTATGAAGAAATGAAGCAAGTATTTTAAAACGGAGGGAGTATTTGTATTAATATATCAATACAGATATTGTCATCACTTACTTGGTAAAGGCTCAATCCCAAAAAATTGGGGTGCTATGTGAATAAATTTCTTATATAAGTGAGGTCTTGTTAAGGGTCAATGACATATAATCAAAAGAGGCCCAACCCGTAGCTTCGCCTTCATCTTTACTTGTTTTCTGGCCCAATATCCCAGTAGAGTAATACTATTATACTTCGTAAGTTCGTAGTAGTTACGTCGCTCTAACCTCTAAGGAGGGAGACACCATGACTCCATGAGGCACATATGTGACATATCATAAATAAATAATCCCTTTTTTTGAACACATAAATAAATAAATCCCTTGATCACAAATATATTTGAATTAGTTAAATGAAATGGTTAATTAACATGAACCATTCAAAAAATATAAAATCTATAATTATTAATTATATTAGGTCTTAAGTTGGGTTTTAAATTTTCGAGTCTCCATCTCAAGCTTTGTAAAAAACTAGCTTTAAACTGTTTAAAATATTATAATTTATGAAGTATTATCTTAAGAGAGTTAAAACAATTGAATAGTAATTTGATGATATTGTACAACACCTCCTTGCTCTAAATCAAACTCAATTGACTATAACTAGTGTACTGTTACGATCCAGTTTTCGTAAAGCTTTCATAAAATAATCTTTAATTGCAATTTTTTAAACATCTTATGTGAAATATGGAGATTTTTTTTCTTATTTCTTGAATATGAAGTGGAATACATATTGGGTTGAAAAGAAAACAGGTAAAGATTAACA